AGCAGACAATGGAAGAAAAAGTTGTATATAAGATTCGTATATTTGGACTTTATTTTAGTCACATTAGTATGTTTACTTTAGTTTTTATGTATTCTAGGAGTCTTTTAGTCCTATCTAAGATTTATTTACTAGTAAAAGATATGGAAAACTTCTAGTACTACTACTACTAATTATTATTTTTTGAAACTAGTAATTTGTGTTCTTCAGCATTAAGAGATACACTGACCACCTCCAACAAAAGTTTACAGTAAAGAAAATAAGAGATACTTACAAAGATTCGATGAATTCCACTTAGTAGATTTCCTCTTCTATGTTCTGTTCTTTACGCCAAAAACATAGTGAAGTAATAACTTTCCACTTAATCTTCTGTATAGTGCATTCTTTTCCTTCAAGGATCCTCTGGTTCCTCTCATTCCAAATGTTTTCCCAGATGCAAGCTGGGACTTCCCTCCACCATTCCTTTCTGGCTCTTGCTTCCTCCTCTCCTGATCCAACAGCTAAGCAAATCAACAGTATGTTCAGACCAGTGTTGTGGACGGCGAGAGGCGACAAAAGGCGACAATGGCCTGCCTCGCCACGCGGCGAGGCGAGCGGCGAGGCGCTTGCCTTTTTGAATAAAGGCGCCAATTAATACCAAAAATTAAAAATATTTAATTGCATATTTTATCCAAAGTCTTAATAGCAATAACACATATAAGCCCTTATTTCTTCTCTAATTTCCGACGGACAAGCGACACATTGTTTAACATTTTTGAAACCACCCACTAAATGTTGTTTGTGTCGAGTTATTCCACCATTGAAAGTACTCCCACAAAAGTTACAAGTGACAGAATCTTTCGTCGCTCCTTGAGTGCCATAATTCCATCCAATGTCCCTCTTTTTGCTAGCATCCGCCATTGATTATTAAATTCAATTAATTCGCTGTTTAGAAAAATTGGAATAAATAATTAGGAAAAGAATTTTTTAAAAAAAATTAACACTTTTGTTACACTTACACAAAGCAGTAAGCACTGCCTGACTGCTGCTTACCAAAAAAAAATAAAATGAAGAAGAAGAACAGAAAAAATAAGAACAGAAGAAGAAGAAGAACAGAAAAAATAAGAACAGAAGAAGAAGTGAGAAAACATTACCTGAAAACCTGAAAACAGAGAGTGAGAGTCGCGAGGGTCGTCGGCGAGGGAGAAGAGACGCGACAGCGAGGGAGCAGAGACGCGACAGCGAGGAACAGCGAGGGAGCAGCGACGCGATGGAGGAGAAGAGAAGAGTCAATCGATCGATCGATCGAGAGAGTCGCGATGTGGAGGATTTCAGAAATTTTCAAAAGTAAAAAAAAAACCCTAATTTTGACCAATATTATTAAGTCAAAATTTTTTAATCAAAAAGGCGGCGCCTTTCGCTCGCCATTTCAGCGCCATAGATCGCCAAAAGCTCGCCTTTTTCTCCTCGCCTCGCCTCGCCAGAGAATGGCGAGCCACCCTCGCCTCGCCTCGCCTCTCGCCTTTGGCGACGAGGCGAGCGCCTTTCATAACACTGGTTCAGACATGATCCAATAAACTCCAGCGATGGTAGTGAACAAGGCCCATGTTTGTTCTGTTACTTTACAATGCAGGAAGAGGTGTTGTTCGTTCCTAGTGCCTCCTTGCATAGAAGGAACCTAGACGCGATGCTGATCTCCCTCTTTTGCAATGCCTCATATGTCAAACAGGCTTTTCTAGCTACCAACCAAGTGAAGTACTTCACTTGTGTATGAGCAACACTCGTCCAAATAGCAATCCAAGGTCCTGTTTACCTGTCTGCAGCTTCACTCAGACCCCTATTGTATACCCTGTTATCCGTGAAATACCATCATTGTGGTGCCCCCAAATGAGATTGTCCGTTTCCATGTTAGTACCTGGGAAGTTTCCTGTCAAATTCAGAAGTTCTGATCATTTAAGAACCTTCTTAAGGTCACATTCCATCCTTGGGGAGACTACACTTCTTGTATATTGCAATCAGGTTTCAAGCATATTAAAGCCATACCAAGGAACAAAGATTGAAGAGTTCTATCACCATTCTAGTCCTCTTTCCAGAAAAGTACCGTATCTCCCCTTCCAATTCTACGTTAGTGTCAGGTTCGAATAACAGCCAGAGATTCTTCATTTACTTCCAAACCCCAACCCCATCAGTGCCAGACTGCCAGTCACCTCATTTGTGCATCACTGACCCTCTTGGCCGTATTTATGCAAAATTATCTCCTTCCAAGGATTCAGGCCTGTTGGGTAAATCTCCATAGCACTTTCATAAGCAAACTCTTATTGTGCAGCTTCATGTTTCTCACTCCCGATCCTCCAAAACTCTTGTTTTGCTGGATTCTGATCCATTTTACAAGGTTAAGACTCTTATCAATCTTGTTCCTTGCCACTGGAAATTCCTCCTCAGATTGTCCAAGATTGTCACCACCTTGCCAGGAAGAGGAACAAGGACATCACATAGGTTGACAATGAGTAAAGGACTGCATTTATCAATATGACTTTACCACCTAGGAAAAGGTACTGTGACTACCAAAGAGCTAGGTTCTTTTTATGATTTCTCTATTATTCCATTCCACATATTCACTGCTTTGTGTTTTAGCACCCAATGGCATTCTCGAATAGACTGGGCATCTCTTCTATCCTGTATTTCAGAATATCTGCAAGTGTCTAAATTTGTTTAACCTCTTTAACCGGAAAAATGTTGGTTTTCCTCCGGTTAACTTTCAGACCAGAACAAGCTTCAAAGATTACCAGGATCACCCTCAGGTAGCAACTTTGTTCCTGTTCAGCTTCACAAAAAAACCATTGTGTCATCAACAAACAATAGGTGAGTCACCACCATAGTTTCATTGTTTATGTTCTTAATGTTGAGGTCACTTATCCAGTTATTTGCTATATCCTTTCTCATTATATTGTCCAGTCCTTCCATAGCTATTGATCAAAAATCTCATTTTGTTTCTATAGGAGAAGAGACTATCTCATCAACATAAAATATCATTCTGCTCCCTCTTGTTGAATTCTGCTCCTTTCTAATTCTCTTTTCTCCTCCCTGTTTAACCCCCTAACATTCTAACATTTTAGGCTAGTATCTTCAACTTCGTAACAACCGAGTAGTCTTTTTCCTCCCTCTATATCTTGAGTCGCTCATTGGCTCTGTATCCTTGAATTTCACATCAAGGATAAGGTTCTTCAACTCCTTTGGAATTAATTGTAAATAGAAATTCTCTGATAAGGTCATAATTGGGGAAACTTCCTTCTCTCTTCTTTTATCAATTTTTAACCGTAAAATTATGACACCTGGACCTAACTCAACCCCAAATTCTTTACTGAGTCTGATTATGTTCTATTGTACCCAAGAACGAATTTCGTTCTCCACTACTGTACCAGTTCCATGCTCATCAGCGTCAGTGATAGAATATCTATCTTCAATTGTATCTTCCCTCCACCTCCTTCTGTCCTAATTGCATGCCTCTTTTTGTTTGTGTCTTTAGATGTGTTCTTTCCTCGGTTTGGACGATGGACATATTGTCATCGTCCCTCAAAGCTGCGACGAATTCTAATTTCTTACCCTCTTCTCCATGTTCTAGTGGAGTTAGAACACATTCTCTGCCTTGCTTCATTAGATTTATGCAGTTTGCTTCTATTTCATCGAGTAAAGGTTCAAAAAACCTTTCACTATTGTTGGAATTCTTTTCATTTAAATGAGCAGCATGTTGGACCAGTGGGTCTGGGCCCACGGTTTTAATTTCTTTTCCTTTCTGTTGCTCCAGGTCACGTGCACACTAAGGCCTCATTTGTTTGCACTTAATGAAGGTCTTAATCTTATTCATTCAGATTTAGTCCATTAAGTGCATTTGGTTTAGTCTGAATTTTAATCATTCATATTCAGCCCATTAAGTCAATTTGTTTCTTTTTTAAAAAAACCTCTTCATGGGTCTTAATGAGTCTGAATGGATCAGATCTATAATAGAGTCTTAATACCATTCAGATTCCATTAAAACAGTAAATGTTCTTTCATAAACAAATTCTATGCTTCCTTTCTTATCTTTTGAGCAAGTTTCAAGTTTCTTCCTCTCCTTTTCCAATCAAATACCATTTTTTTTCTTTTGAATAGGTAAGTTTTCATAATCTTTTACAAGTATTTATCTTATATTTTTAATCTATACAATATTCTTTGGTGAATCGATATTTATGAAGAAATCTTTTTGTCACAATTCATTTGTTGCCAAAACTTCTTTGAAAGAAGTTATCGTTGTTTCTTGAGAAAAAAAATTGTTTGAGAAAACAAATAAATCATTTTTTTTGTGGTGGGTTATAGTCTTATTCTTGAAACAACTTTTTGGAGAAATTATCGTGGGTTTGAATTATAAATTTTATTGATATAGTGTTTAATTCCTAATTTTAAAATAAATAAATTATGCGCTATGATATTGAAAACAGACAATCTTAATAATTAAATTACATCTTACTATTCAGATGTGCATTCAGATTCTGATACTTTAATCGTAATGCACACCTTAATATTCAGATGTGCATTCAGATTCAGACATCTTAATCTTAATGAAAACAAATAAGGCCTTAATGAATTCAAGAACTTTTGAATACCCCACATGGCAACTCCTGTCACCAGTTGTCAAGGGTGTAGATTTCGCTGCTCCACCTCTGTGTATTACCTGTTGGGTCAAAATATGAAACCTTTTGTCACCTACAGCATAAAAGCCTTCTTCTCCGATGGAGAACCTCGTCGGTGTCTCATCCTATACTTAACTAATATACCAAAACCACCGCTTATGAGTTTGGATCTGTCACATCCGGGTTTACCCCCTAGACGTAACCGGCGTCGTCGTCCTTTTGAAGGACTAAGACTAGCCTCTTAGTTTCATGTCATTACATTCATAGGTTGAAAAACGAAAAAATTTAAAACTTTCATTATCACTACTTGGAGGTTTACATAGACCTCTACATACACATAATAGATATTCATATCGAGTATACATAGACCCTTCATATAGAAAGGTTACATATCCTTCTACTTTTATTGCACATACATGTATAAGAATATAGAATTAGTCTCAATAATTGTCTCATCTCATACCATCTAAACGAATATCACAATATGGGCATAACCCTTACATCGATTCAACAAGACCATGTATAGGTCATACAAAAGTACAATATTCAAATAACAAGGAAAGGAATGATAGAGTCAATAAGCTCATAACAAATCCAAAGTTAGAGGATGACATTGCCCTCGAGAGTTGAGGACCTACCCTACTTGGATGAAAGGAAGAATCCAAGCCTTCAACAATGACACCTCCCAAAACTCTTCAACAATCGGAACCTAAAATGTTTGGGGAAAAGGGAAGAAAATGGGGTTAGTACTCCAGATATACTAAGTATGAGATCTTATGCACATACACAAGCAAAACATGCTAAAAGGGACTTTTTATCAAAACATGTCATTTTACCCCTTTAGGGACTTAATGCAAAGTCAAGTAAGTCATATCAATCAATCAACATGCTTGCTATCATACAAGTAATACTTATCCCAACATATTGAAACTATGATTTACTACAACCCTAACATCAAGAAATAATATCACAAGAATAAATAAGAGTTAAACATATCATAATAAGCAAGACAACTACTCACAAGTCCTTATCAAGTCAACTAGTGCAATGACCAAACAAAGCCCCATAACCTCACTCAATTAAGTATCCTCAACAAGAAAACATGACCAATGTCCAACTTTACATATCATGGCTTTTAGACTTGCATTTCATCATATACTCATTATAATACAAGGCACATTTATAAATGAACTAATCAAAATATATTATCAACAATGTGCCATGGTCATTATATATATACATCATATATTATCATAGCATAAACATACATAAGAACCTCCTCCTAAGACTCCCCTTAAAGCTAGCTAGTGCAATGTCTAGGTAAAGTCCCAAACCCTTACCTGGACTAAGCTAGACCCCTTAGGTTATCCAAGTTAGAGTTCAAGTCTTTTATTCGTTTTACCTTTTCAGGAACATCTTGCCCTAGCCGACATAGATCACATGAGCTAGTTTGGAATCCGGTGTCATAAAACCCTATACCGAAAAGAAGGCGGACTACTTGCCAAGGTAGTACCCAAACATGAAACATAACAACTACGTGGATCCACTAGCTAATATTCCTATTGGGGCAACATAGTTCAAGAACTAGGAGATTTAGTTGGGACCCTCTTTATGCGCCATGCATTATAGTCTCCAATCTCAAGAGTAATGTAGTGTTCCTACCTTCCCTATGTGGGAAGGGACACTTCTCTATCTAGTTCACTCGGTGCTAAGCTAGAGTCCCTTTTTGAAATATCTTTAAGCCTTTAATTATCAATCATAACTTAATTTAGGCCATAGGGTCTATCCCTTGTATAATCATCATCATCAATAGCTCAATAAGAATTGTATGAGTATAAGTCCTTTCATCACAATTCCTATAAGTGAGGTTAAATCTTTAGCATTTCATAACATATTAAGGCACATTGATAGTTTTCACCATCCTTATAGCAGATACACCTTAATCAACCTCACAACGTAGTCAAGACATTTCAATTCAACATCATACCACCCTATAATCCTAGTATAAGACATACTCCAATGTAATATCATGACTTAACAACAATTAATCACAATTGGAAGTAAAGATAGAGATTCTAAGAATTACCAAGTCTTCCTCATAGTCTATCATCAATGTCTTACCATCAACCCATAAATCAACCTAACTTGAGGAGTAACATCATTAGACAATGATAACCAATAAGATTACAAGGCCAATTGCATCTCTATAACACAATTCATCTTCAGATCACAACTTGAGAAAAGGTACATAGGCTAATTTCACATTATAATTCATAACCTAAATCACATCTCAAGAACTAGCATGATAGGCCTATAATTCATCTTAATTTAATCATAATAGCACCATAGGATAGTAACCAAATCAACAACTAACTCGATTGAATGATCCCAATACAATATAGGTCAACATCACTACCTAGGGTTAGGGATATCGGATCATACTATTCAATTTAGACCAAACCATCAAAAGTTACCATAAATAAGTTGAATTACATGTTAATCTACTCAATATAACCCTAAGAATTCATTAACAACTCAATGCATAACTTCAATTTCGTAATTGAATGAGATCCATAAGAAAACTCAACTTTTTGAAATCTATTTTGAAGGAACCCTTTTAGGAAAGAATCTCAAAGGTGAATAGAACCCATACCTTAATGATTTCTCAACAATTTGATTGTGAATTCGTCCCTTTCCAGCCCCCAAGCCCTAGTTCTTGCTAGCCTTCAATGGTGAGTTCATGTAGAGAGAGAAATAAGAGAGAAGGAAGAGAGTTTATTTTGAGAGTTGTCTTTAGGTTAATGAGGGTTGAGGGTACTTACAGTAGGACTTAATCAACTTAATTAGTTTTCCTTTAATCCCCAACTAACCCCTAAAACACTTATTTAATTAAATAAAATCATAAACTCGACCCTCACAGAAGAGACCCCGATCGACGGTGCGTCTGTGAGTCGACGGACAACTCCCCCTCCGTCCTGCACTCTGTCGTCTCGGTCAGAGACTTTGTAGGCGAGGGCTTCCTCCAATTTGTCTAAGTGTGGGACGACAGTGGCATCGACGCCCCGTCGATCCACACACGGACCGTAGCCTGCACCTTTGCACTCCGTCGAGGAGTCCAGAGAATGTGCAGGTGAAGGGACCTTCTCCACCAGTCTAAGTATGGGACGACGGTGGCATCGACGCCCCGTCGATCCAGACACGGGCCGTCTTCTGTCCCGTCGATGTAAACTGTCAGGCAGTGCTGCATCAAACTACATGGGTCCTCCTCAAGGGCCCTTGGTTGGTCCTTGGGGAGTCGTACCCGAACGTTTCAACCATGGAACAACTCAAACACCCATTAGTTACCTTTTTACCAATTTTCGTACATTTTCGATTCCTAAAAGTTAGTCAAAAAGGCTAAATCCCTTTGAACCAACTTCCCGAATGTTTTGGTTCTTAAACCTCCTAAATGACCTATATTCATTAAAAATGGACTTAGAAACAATGTTTAGACTTTATGACACCTATGTTAGGCTTTACAATGAGTTTTGGATTTTCAAGGTGTTACAGTATCAGCTCATAACCTCTATACCTGGTACCTTACTAGAGTGTATGCTCTGCATACCAGAGGAATGAGAAGTTACTTTGCGTGGAGGAACTTGCTGCAGTTGTAACCATTTGTGATGGTCCTTGGGTCATCTGTGGAGACTTAAACACCAACAATACTATGAAATAAAGAAAAGGATGTAACAAAATTTCTTTTGTTATGTCTGACTTCTTAACGTGGATACAAGAGATGGAATTACATGAACCCCATCTACATGGTGGAATCTTTTCTTGGTTTATAGGCATTAATCATCCAAGTGCAGCTAAGCTAGATAGATTATTCTCTATGGAATGGGAAGAAAAATTCAAAAATATCAAGCAAAAGTTGCTACCTAGAGTGCTCTCTGACCATTGCCCTATCGTATTAGAATGTGGAAACCGGGAGAAGAAAAGGTCAAATTCAAGTTCGAGAACTAGTGGTTCAAGGTTGAAGGCTTCACTGATTTGAACAAGCATGGTGGAAATGAATTCTTGGAGGAAGGATGCCCAGACTACAAACTCAATTAAACTAAAAATGCTTAAAGGAAAAACTTAAAGAATGAAGTAAAGCAAATTTTGGGAAGCTAGTAAATAAGAATAATAGTTTACTTGAAGAATTGGCTGAAATTGATGAGTTACAGGGAACAAGAGATTTGACTGAAGATGAAATGATGGTAAGAGCCACCATAGTAGTGGAGTTGGAAGAAGTGGCAAAATATGAAGAATCAAAGTGGAGATAGAAATCCAGAGTATTATGGCTGAAACAAGGGGACAATAACACAAAGTTTTTTCAAAGAATGGTAACATCAGACAGGAGGACCAACACCGTTGATAGTCTGATAGACAAAGGAGAAATTGTAGAAGATCCTATGGAGATCGTAAACACTATGATTGATTTCTATAGGAAATTTACACTAAACATGAGAATTAGCGACCTAGATTTGACCTCCTAGAATGCCCAACTATAAATAGGAGGAACAAACTTGGATGCAGAGACCTTTTACCGTGGCATTGAAGAGGTCCTGAAATGCTTATAACACTGTGATGGAGACAGCTCCAGGCCCAGGTGGCTTCAGAATGAGTTTCTTTAAGTCATGCTAGGTAACATTAAAGGAAAATCTATGTTGACAATTCATAACTTTCACCAAAAGAAATTTTTTGAAAAATCTTTCAATGCCACTTTCATAGCATTGATTCCTAAAAAAGCTAAAGTAGAGGAATTAAAGATATCAGATCTATTAGCTTGATAGGGGGAATATATAAGATTATTTCCGAACTGATCGCTGAGAGGTTGAAGACAGTAATGGGAAACTGGTTGATGTACACCAAATGACTCCCTAAAAGGAAGGCAAATTATGGATGCTTCACTAATTGCTAATGAATTGGTGGACTCCAGAGTTAAACAAAAGAAAGCTGGAATCTTATGCAAGCCGGATACAGAAAAGATATATGATTATATCAATTGGTCTTTTCTGCTTATGATTTTGAAGGACATGGGATTTGGGTGGAAGTGGCTTAACTGGATAAGATTCTACATATCCACTGTTAAGTTTTCCCTAATTATAAATGGAAATTCTGAAGGTTTCTTCCCGTCTCTAATGGGGCTAAGACAAGGGGACCATCTCTCACCCTTTCTATAGATCTAGCCATGGAAGGTCTCAATCACATGATCATGAGAGCAAATTGGAGGGTTAAATAAGTTTTAAAGCTCAGATGTAGGGCAGTAGGACAATGACTCTATGAATCTTTGATTTTGGGCTCCATGTTAAATGGCAAAAGAGTTTCCTGTACCCAGTTAACCAAGTAAGCAATATGGAACTGTTAGCTCGCAATCTTGGTTGCCAAATAGAAACTCTACCTACAAAGTACTTGGATATGCCTTTTGGGAGCACAAAACAAGGACATAAAAGTGTGGAATGTACTGGAGAGATGTTACAGGAAACTAGCAAGCTAGAAAGGTCAATACCCTCTTTGGGAGGGAGATTGACCCTGGTCAAGTTAGTCCCAAATGCACTCCCATCTTATATAATGAGTCATTTTTCTATTCCAAAGAGCATTGTGAGAAAGATCAACAAACTTAGAAGATCTTTTCTTTGGAATGGAAACAGAGAAAATAGAGGTTACAAGCTAGTCAAGTGGGACATT